ACATTTCCTGTGGCCTCCATTCCTGTTTGCCAATGACTGTGCCTGAGACCTAAGTGTCAGAGGCCCTCGCTACCGCACCCTGCAGGTGCAACATGAGAAATGCTCAAACGCCTGTTCTTCACCACGTAGGAAACTTGTCTGGAGAAACCACTTTCTCTAGATCCCTTTATCTTCCTCGTTAGCTTCAAAACTGTAGAATCTCATCAACAAGGAGTTTCCAACCCTGCTCTGAACCAGGAAGAGCCTGTGGATCTCCTCCATCTTCCTCAGCTCCTGGATTGGTATATCTCCAAAAGTCAGCATCAGAGATGTTTTCCTTTGAGGTCTGACAAAGATTCTTCCCTTGACCAAACTCTAGGCAGGCTCCTCCAGGCCCTCTTCTCACCTAGGCCTCCTCCTTGGCCTAAAAGGACTTGCAGAAACACTAACCTAGTTTCTAAAAGCTCATGACTGAAGAAATGCAAAGCTTCTAGAAGAATTTCCTGTCTGTTCCAGCCTCACCTGTAGAGAGGGCCCCTGAGTCCCAGTGTTGTAGGAGGGTGCAAGCTGAACTTTGATACGCACCAGGTAACAAACCCAGGTAGGTTTCACATACAGCAACTCTCCAATTCCACTTTTTGGCATTTTTGCTTCCCTGACTCTAATGGGCATCCACTCACACTCCCTTCTTCTCCTTTTTTTCTCCCTTTAAAATGCCCAGTCACTCTGTACAAATCAAACTTGAATCTAATTCATGCTTGAATTCACCTTCTCTATTGAAATAGTTGTCACTGATTAAAGTCTGTCTTTACCATATTAACTGGTGTCCAGCTTTGTTTATCTTTGACAGAATCAAGAATAGTTGTTACGCAATGTAATACCACCAAGGTGAGTGAATTAGTGCAGGAGAGGAAAATGAGCTGTGATGAAAATCATTCTCAAAATTTTAGTGACTTAACGAAGAATTTCTCACACATGTAAGTCTTCAGGTGTTCCCTAGATTACACTGATTTCTGATTTTGTTCTCGTACTCAGAGTGCTTTTTTTCTCTGCTCAGGAAAAGAATGGGCGATAGTGCAGGAATTTTTACTGCCTTAGCCCCAACATAACCGCCACAACTTGCTAACCACATTTCAGTGCCAAAACTGGTCATTTAATTCCACCTAACTCCAAATTGGGTAGGGATGGCATCTACCATATACCATGAAAATAGAGACATGACTAACGGACATAAATCAAGGGCAGGATGGGGTCAATCGCTCAAATCTGAAGCATAATTTTCTACCTATTTCCACTGTTATGATGTGTGAGCTAGACAGGTCCTAAGACTGTGGAGTCAAGACACTCTCTGCCTTTGAAAAATCGTCAGTACCATGCCCACACCCTTCCTACCACTACCCACAAATGACTGGTCTATGCTGAGGTTGAGTTTAGCATTGTCCTCTCACAAAAGAAAAAATATCTGTATTGGCAGAAGGAAGTGATAAAGGCAGGGTTACAGGAGTTAGATGGAGTTAAAAATGATAGTGTAGACATATACTTATGAAAATGAAAAGATACTTTCTAGTCATATAAAAATAAGAAAAATATGGGCCAAGCATAGTGGCTCACATCTGTAATCCTAGCACTCTGGGAGTCTGAGGGAGGAGGATCACTTGAGCTCAGGAATTGGAGACCAGCCTGAGGAAGAGTGAGATTCCATTTCTACTAAAAGTGGAAAAATAGCTGAATGTGGTGGTGGGTTCCTGTGGTCCCAGCTACTTAGGAGACTGAAGCAGGAGGATTTCTTGAGCCCAAAAGTTTAATGTTCCTGCCCAAGTCACAGAACAAGACTCCATTTCAAAAGGAAAAAGGAAAAGCATGTTGATACATGTGGTATATATACAGCATAATCCCACTTGTGTGTGCATGCATTTGTTTCTATACACATGTCTATGTATGTATATGTGTGTGTACATAGGAAAAAGTCCAGAAGTCTCTCCCACATGGTTATTTCTGATAGTCTCCTAAGTAAATTTATTTTGCATTTGTCTTGCTAATATTTGCTAACATTTGCTAACTTACAATGTGAATTATGTGTACAAAAGATAGGAGCCCCCCTTCCCTCAGCATGACCAGAAAGGGAGTGAAGCTTCCACACTGCAATGCACAGGTGGTGTGGAAGGGGAGGGCAGATTGGTCAGTACCTTGGCACTAGTGACAGTCAAGATCAGTGTCCTGCAGAGCCACATAAGAGACAAAAGGACAAAATCAGTGATTTTATTTAAAATATTCACATTATTAAAAGTCACTCAATAATTAGTTATCAAAGACTGAAAGGCAGATATTATCCCAGGGCAGGACAAGGGAGTATGGGGTGGAGATAGATTTAAAGAATATTGCAATGAGGTGAGTGTGAGAGACTGGGTACAGCTCTGACTCCATCAAGGATGAGTAGGGATTTATATCTGAGGAGCAGGATCGGGGTGAGCAGAAGGAGAATTTCTAAGAGGAAACATCAAGATGAACAGGGTTTCTGTTAAATGGACTCAACAGGGGTGCTACTGAAGGCAGGCTAGTGTGATAAGATATCTAAGGTGGTCAGATACTAAGGTGGGGGCTTTTAACTGAATCGACTTAGGATTTATTTTCCAAACTGGATTCTAAGAGGACAGAAATGGAAGCTCAAAGTTGGGTGGAATCAAAAAGGACTCAGAGAAGCCTGCCAAAGGTTTTGGTTAAAGGAGAGAGTTTTTAAAATTCATCATGGATTTTTGCACTGATTTTGATTTTTAAGCCTTTTCATTAAAATAGGATTTGTTTTAATTCCCAAAGTTGCTGTCACCCCCTTAGATTTTGATGCTAAGACCTGCCTAGCCTCACCCTTGTTCTGCCCGTGATTGCATCTTGGGCATGGGGGAAGGAGGTGTCTGGGACTCATTGAGAAAACAGGGAATTCTGAGAAGTGATCCCACCAATGACCACACCAGGCCAGTTGTACTGATGCATGGAATACTGGAGGCAAGATGGAAAAACTATAATCTGAGCAGAGTGAGGAGGCTGAGAGATGAGTATTTAAGCCCTGAACTTGTCTGTGCTTTGAGTACTTACAAATTGAGTAGAGATAAAACAGCATCTTCACATTGAGGACTGAACTCTGACTTTTTCTTTTGTGCAAATTCCTTTCTAAGAGGCCTGGTGAGTCATGTCTGAGATAAAATCTCAGGAAATGGGCTATATTAACCCAATATAATGCGATTTATGTTCCAACTTGTTTCTGGTCTACCATGACTTGACAGAAAACCCTCTTAACTCAAGTGTCCTAGTGATAGGAGTCAGAAGGCTTTTAGGAGGTTTGGGAGATGGGGTTGGGCACGAAGTTTCATAACTGCCACAAAGTGCCTACATGACCTATGCAACCATTAGTCAATAACTGTGCCTGGGTGGGACTGATCAGGAGGAAAGGCCC